CTCTGCCCATTTTTTGATTGGATCATTTGTTTTTTTTGTTGTTATTGAGTTGTATGAGATCTTTGTTATTTTGGATATTAGGCTCTTATCAGAGGCGTTCCTTGCAATTATAGTTTTCTATTCGGATGGTTGTCTCTTTACCTTGTTGAAGATTTCTTTTGCTGAGAAGAAGCTTTTTAGTTTGATGTAGTCTCATTCATTTATTTTAACTTTTACTTCCCTTGCCTTTGAGGTCAATTTCATAAAATCCTCTTTAAGTCCAAGGTCCTTAAGTTTAGTTCCTATGTTTTCTTCTACGCATTTTATTGTTTCAGGTCTTATATTCAGGTCCTTAATCCATTTTGAGTTAATTTTGGTGTGTGGTGATAGACAACAGTCTAGTTTCATTCTTTTGCAGGTGGCCTTCCAGTTTCCCCAGCACCATTTATTGAAGAGGCTTTAGGAGAGACATTTTGAAAAAGATAAGAGATAACAAGTGTTGGTGAGGATGTTGGTAAAAAGTGTACAACAGTATATCTTTGTACACTGTTGGCGAAAATATAAATTGGCACAGCCTTTATGGAAAACAGTATGGAGGCTCCTCAAAAAATTAAAAATAGAACTACCATATGATTCAGCTATTTCACTTCTGGGTATATATGCAAAGGAAGTGAAATCAATATCTCGAGATATTTGCACTTGCATGTTCACTACATCATTATTCACAACAGCCAAGATATGGAATCAGTCTAAGTGTTCATTAGTGGATGAGTGAATAAAGAAAATGTGGTGTGTATATATACACAATGGAATCTTATTTAGTCTTAAAAGGAAATCCTGTCATTTGCAACAACATGGATGAACCTGGAGGACATTATGCTAATGGTGACAAGTGTAATTAATAATCATATATTATATATTGAAATTTGCCAAGAGATTGTATCTTTTTTTGAAAAAACTTTTTTCGAGCTTTATTGAGTTATAATTTACAAGTAAAAACTATATATATTTGGTGTGTACATTGCGATGATTTGATATACATATTCATTGTGAAATGAAGAGTAGATCTTAAATGTTCTTCCCACACACACAATAACTAATGCGAGATATGTTAATTAGCTTGGTTGTGCTGATCATTTCACAGTGTGTACATATATCAAAATATCACATTGTACATTGTAAATATATACGTTTTTTATTTCTCAATTATGCCTCAGTAAAGCTGGAAAAATAAAAATATAAGAAGAAATTTGTGATTTTCAGTGGTATTTTAGCAGTTGGAATACATCATAAGTACCACTTGAAATTATTTAAAATTTCTTTTCCACTTTTGTTTAGTTTTGTACTCCCATTGCATCTGCCTGGTTGGTTAAGGATGGCAGAGTCTTTCCCATCAGTCTTTTTGATGATACAAGTTATTCATCTAATAATGAAGTTTTAGAAGATGAAGAAGACATTGTAGAAGCTGCCCGAGGAGCCACAGAAAACAGTGTTTACTTGGGTGAGGAGATGTCTCTTATCTAGTGATAGATAGTACATATTGACAACTAGATTTTATTCCTACATTGTTTCTTCCTACTTCAGATGTGCCTTTAGTTGTTTTAATTCCTCAATACATTCTCTGGCTTAGGTTGCCCTTAAGATTTATACTTTGATTTCTATTCCTGCTATTTTATTTTCCATTTTTCTGATTATGAAACTTTTAATTACTATAGCATATTTTTTCTCTGAGACCTATATTAGAAAGGTTTAGAAGTGTTTCTGTTATAATAGCATGACTTCAAATAACATGTGTATCCTCAGAGTCTAAAACTTTCTGCATTTGTATTTGTATTTGCATCATATCAGTTTGCACCTCAAAGATTATTTATTATTTTTCTATGCATCTATACAACTGATCTGAGAAATAAAAATAAAATTTTAGTGTACTTCTGGGCATTTGAAGGCCTTTAACATAATAAATTTTTAAAAACCTTGAATCTAATTATTTGAACTAGTTTTTGTGGTCATATACTCACAGAATTCTTTAAACTCTATCAATGTGCTACTCACCCCTCATTCTCATTGAAATGAAGAATTTGAAATGTTAACATGTCATGCATGTGTTGTGATAATAGTTAACTTGATTGTTAGCAATATCTCTGGAATTACAGGTGTTTAGTCTTCCATAAGGAGAAAGTTACTTCATCTAAGTTGTTAGTCACAGAAGAGTACGATGATTTCTTTTATTTGAATTTTCCTAGTGGATGAGTTTTCCAGTAGTTGGTGAAGATTATTATTCAGTGAGAAATTTGTATGGACCTCCATATAACTTTCCTTTCTTATTTTTGTTGAATAGCCTTCAGGTCAAGTTTGAGTGCTTCAGGCATGATTCTTCTTTGAAAGGAGCTATGTAACCCATTAAAAATAACTGGAATTAATCTAATTTTATTAAATTAAAATGAACCTTTTTGAAAAACTCATTGGTGCTTGATCATGAACATAATTGACAATGTTCTGGTTGATTTAGGAATGTACAGAGGCCAGCTGTATCTGCAGTCATCAGTCAGAATTTCAGAAAAGTTTCCTACAAATCCCAAGGCTTTGGAATCTGTTAATAAAGAAAATTCAATTATTCCTTTGCCAACAATCAAATGGAAACCTTTAATTCGTAAGTGACTTGTATAAAGTTTATTAATGTGTACAGAAGCCTAATCATGATTGTCTTTGCTCTAGTTATGAATATCACAGAAATCATAACTATTATATACTCTTTGTTTTCGATAAACTAGGAAAGTATTTCAGATGTTAATGAATTTTAATTATAAATTAGAATATGATTTCATTTAAACAGCAGTTGCTTCTCTAGAACTCAATGTTAATAAAATATTCCTCTATACAACTTAGAAAAGCTGTTAACCATTTAGCAACCATGCCTAAATTTAACTCTTAACCTACTTATATCAAGAATATTTAGAAAAATTATCTTGTCACATCATATTCTTTGAAACATTTGATGAATTAAAATCAAATACTAGGCCACATACTTCCTTCAGTTATCTTTTCATACCTTGTGTATGTTTTTTTAATACGTGTCTCATCATATTTTAACTACTTGTTTAAATGATTCATCTTCTCTACAAGACTGCTTTTCCAGGGAAAGAACCTTGAACCATTTGTTCATCTTACATGCTTATACTGAACTGTGTGGTTGAATATCTATTTTTTGAATGAATGAAGTACACACGTTTTCATTACAGTTATAACAGTTACAATTTCACATTTTCTTTTAGATTCTCCTTCCAGAACTCCTGTCTTGGTAGGGTCTGATGAATTTGACAAATGTCTTAGTAATGATAAGTTTTCTCATGAAGAGTACAGTAATGGCGCACTTTCAATCTTACAGTATCCATATGGTAAGTGTGATTATGTTAGGATTGAAAATGCTATTTAATTTTATTTTTTTATGTATTAATTTGAAATTAATTAATAGAATTCAAATGAAAGGTAGTCAATCAGAAGGTAGAAAATAATCGTACAAGGCAATATTGTGAATAGTGGCCAAGGGTGCAAGCTCCAAAGTCAGATTGCCAGGGTTCAGATCCCAGCTTTGCCACATACTAGATAGAGCATACCTAACTTCACTATATTGAGATTCCTTCATCTGTAAAACAAGGATAGTAATTCTCACATCTATTTATTGTGTTGTTGTGAGGTCTAAATGAGATAATGCATATATACAATCTTAATTAGTGCTATGCCTGGCAAGTAAGTGTTTAATAAGCATTAGTTCTTGTTATTAGTTCTTATTTATCAGCCATTATATATCTAGTCTATATAAAATCAGTCTGTATAATGAAAAAAACAGATATTCCCCAGAGAGCTACGTGAACATACTATAAAATGAGATCAGTTTTGTTCACAGACAAGGAAGATTGGTGCAAAAGTCAAGAATAGGTGAACTTTGGCATGAAATGCATTCCTGTGTATTTAAAGTTGGGATATATTTAGATATTAAAGTCTTTTGAATGGCTAGGTATAAAAAAGTCCTCACATCTACATTAGACAAAAAACATAGATTCCTTATCAGTTACCCTAGTTGCTAGAACTAGGAAATTACTGTAGAATTTAAATTGATAAAAAACAAAAAACAAACAAAAAACAAAAAATTAAAAAACAAACAAACAAACAGAAGGCTCTGAACTAGAAACAGCCGTCTTTATCTGATATCACTCAAAATACAGGGTAAGAGAGCTAAGAGAGAACTGTGTAATTGGCACACACGGTGCAATGTGAAGGACAAAAAAGACAGACTGCTTTCTAGGACAAACTCATTCTGACAGCCTGAAGTGAACCAAAGACCGTGATGGATGTGTTTTTCTTTCAGCTTGTGAAGAACGATTCTTGGTAAAATTTGGTATTTGATTGATGCTATATGCAAATAAAATTTAAAATCCTTGAAGGAATTTGTGTTCTATCTAATTCTTTCTTGCATTTAAAGGATTAAATTATTAATGAGGTAATGAATAGAGTGGCTCTTAAATTTTTTTCTAGTCTTATTATTTAGTATAAAGAAAATTTATGATGTTTATGGAATAAAGGAAAATATATTTGTGTAGTAAAAAGAAAAAAGCTGGGTAAATGAGGCTGCCAAAATATATTAAAGAAAAAAATGAAACTTTAACAAAAGGAATTAGTGTTATAAGTCATAGTAAAATAGATAATTGTTAATAATTAAAGATGGATCTATGTTGGTATATCTTTTTTAAAAACCAATCTTTTAATGTTTGTTTTTGAAGATAATGGTTATTATCTACCATACTACCAGAGGGAAAGGAGCAAACGGAGCATACGGAACACACAGATCACAGTCAGATTTCTCAACAACCCAAATTACAACAAGAATACCCGCAAAAAAGATCCTGTTCTCCTCTTACACTGGTGGAAAGAAATAGTTGGAACTATTCTGTTTTGTATCATAACAACAACCTTTATTGTGCGCAGACTTTTCCATCCACATACTCACAGAGTGAGACATTTTAGAATTTGTTTCAAAGTGTTGGGAATTTAGAAAGCTAATTGTGGGAGTGGGATGGGGGGGTGAGGGGTACATTTACTTAAGTTTTACCATAAAATCATTGTTGCCCATATGTCGTTTCTACTTTCTTACCTTTCATTTACTCCTCAACCTTGCATTGCAATCTGGTTCCCACCCTATTGTTACCCTTTCCTTTCACAAGTGAAATGTGATATTTCGTGTTCTTACAATGTTTTTATTTCTCAATATTATTTTATTTTTCAATGTTATTTTATAGCCTAAGATTGTTAGCTAACTTCCATTCAGCTTTGTATTGATAATGACTTTTTCCCCACCTTATCAGCAAAGAAAGGAATCTGAAACTCAGTGTCAAACTGAAAATAAATATGATTCTGTAAGTGGAGAAGCGAATGACAGTAGCTGGAATGACATAAAAAATTCTGGATATATATCACGGTAAGAGTCTTGTCATTAAATATGTATGTGTCCCATAGCCTCTGGTGGCAACTGTTTGGATCAAAGCATAAATGGCCTCTAAAATTAGATCTTGTTTAACTTTTTTTTAATGTGTGAATATCTAGGTAAATATAACATAGATTTAACCCTCAATTAACTTAATCTAATTCAAAGGGTATGCACCCTAAAATGGATAGAATAAGAGTGTTACAGAAGTTTAGAATTTCAGCCACCAAATTAAGTTTTTATAGATACTTAGTTATTGAGGGTCTACCATTTACTCAACTACAATTAATAATACCAAATAATAATTATTGTGTTATTAGACTATGATATAAATCTCCATATGTTACTTAATCTCCAATTTATTTCATCTTAATCATGGCTAGAATGGAAGAAGCAGGAAAATGGGGGTAAATATACCAATAGAATAGATAATTTTTAAAAGCAAAAGTGGTAGATGGTTTATAAAGTAGGCAAGTCAAATAATTCAAAAGTAAAATTAGAGACTCTGTTAGCAATCTGTCATGCATACAGGTTTCGATGCTTGTGGTACAGGAAATGATGTGGTTCATTTTTCGTATTACATGGATTATCACTACTTTTCCCTTTGTTATAATATCACTTTAGTGATATGGGGACAAGGAAAAGATATGGGACCTTACTGCTTAATATCTAGGGTAATGGTTTTATGACAGAAAAGATTGAAAATTACAGCTAAAATGTGTGATACTTTGATTATCCGTGGACTTAATTTATCTAAGCTGCATTCATACTGTATTACCAAAAATTGAGAATTTATTATAATCAGTTACTATAATCAGTTTTAACTGCTAGTTTCCCAAAACTGAACTTACCAGGTGACTAACAAATGGTAAGAGTTTTAAGACCCTTGCTAATAAAGATGACTAATGCATCGGTGACCGGCAATATCAGAAGGCTGTGTGAGAGAGAGAGAGGGAGAGAACAAGGGACCCGGCAGCTCTTGATGGGTAATCCACTACTGAAAGCATTGGTTGTTTATTTAACATTTACTTTGAACAGATCTGTGCAGGACAGTACTCCAGGCTTTGGGAGAAATAAAAAGACTGGGCCTGTCCTGGAGGAGTTTAAAGTCTATGGGGGAAGGTAATGCTGGGTAAAACATACCTTAAGAAAAAAGCCATGAACCAAGCAACTAACTCTGGTTGTGATGATTCAAGAGAGCATCATAAATGAGGTCACATTTTAATTGAACCTTAAATCATGAGTAAGTAAGAGTTAGGTAGATAGAGATGGGAGGAGGAGTGAGATAATGTAAGGCTGTTGTGAAAAGAATTAGAATAATGTACTCTAAAGTTGAATGACTTGATTTGACTAACTATTCATTATTAAGAGTACAGCTGATTGTTTTAAACTACTGGAGCTCTATAGTAATACCTAGTGTTCGTTGAGTGCCTGCTGTATTCCAGGGGTTTTTAAGAACATAAGCTCTGGATTCAGTCATAAGTCTCAGTTCTAACTTTGTCATTTATCAGTTGGGACCTTAGGCAAGGTGATACTTATAAGAGTCTATAATCAAAAATAAGATGTTTCTCTTTTCAGAAGATATATCCATTTTCATATAGATACTTTCTTTAATATTGGAAGATAATTCAGTTGGCCCTCCAAGAGCAGGACATAAACTTCATAGGCTTTTACAGCTGGGGAGATGGATTTGTGCTGAAGTATTTTGTCTAACTATTTTTAGGAATACAGATTATTACTCTTCATTCTCTATGAAGATAATTGGTCCATGGAGGGTTGGGATCTATTGCCTCTCTTCCTTAACTCTATGCTTTAACCAGCTGAGCAACTACTAAATTAATATGTGTACAAATCATAAAGTAATAAACTTAGCCTTATAAGAGACATCAAAAATAATCCAATTTAGCTCTTCCCTCCTATGTCTGGAAGAATAACTTCCACGGCATACATTCATTCATGCATGCATTATTCAACGGATATTTGTTAGACCTTCTATTTGCCAGGTAAGCCCAGACACTGAAAATACAAAGAGAAATAAGAATGCATTCTTGCATTCAAGGCCTCTGCAATTCAGTGGCAGTGGGGAGAGTGAGCTGCATACAAATAACTGAAAAATATTAAGTTGAATAGTTCAAACTACTTTGTGCACAGTGCTATGAGAACATTAAGACAGAGGTCTAGGAAGGCCTTACAGAGGTGGCAAGATAAGCACAGTGAGGGAAGAATAGTTTCATTAAGTACAAAGAAGTAGGCCATCTCAGTAGAGCAAATAGCAGGAGCAAAAGCCCTGAAGTTGTGAGAAGCCTGGTGAAAGTTGGCTGGAATATACAGTGCAGATCAGTGAGGTCAGGCACTAAAGGGGGAACTAAAGTTGCCATGTGGAGGTCCATCTGTGAATGACAGTGATTTAGCTTCTGTCTGGATACCTTTGGTGATGAGCTTACTGACTTGTGAGGCAACCCAGCCAATTTCAGTTAGCTTTGGTTCCTAGAACAATTTCTGGCTTGAATAGTACTTAAATATAATAGGATTGATTAAATTTGTTCTGTACAACTTACAGACACAGACAGAAGATTAAAACACATTTTCGAATTGAATACAGAATGCCATGAGAGGTAAAAGATTAGAGAATTAAGGACAGAATGTTTTGATAGATGATAGAAAGTATTGGACAGGACAGTTGCTTTAAGAACAAGTGATTAACAAGTGGTTCCCAATAAAACAGAAGCTTTTATATATTTTATAAATTTCTCATGAAAAAAATTAGAATGTGTTTGCTCAATTTATACAAACAGAAAAAAATGCTATTAGAATTTACACTCTTTATTAAAATAAGTTTTATGAGACTTACTGAATTTATACATTTTTGTGTATCATAAACTAAGATTGAACTGATTATTACCATACAACAAAATTTAAAACTATTTGCAAACTTTTTCTGTTTTTTTGTTTTTTTTTTTAGATATCTAACAGATTTTGAACCTATTCAGTGCATGGGTCGTGGTGGGTTTGGAGTTGTCTTTGAAGCTAGAAACAAAGTAGATGACTGCAATTATGCCATCAAGAGAATCCATCTCCCCAACAGGTAATGGATGGCACTTCTAGTAAAATCAGAGTTAGCACTATGTCATGTAATCTCATATGTAGTATGTCCTTCTTATTATGCTTCATAGAGACCGTAGAAAACATAGTTTCTGACCTTCTGAATTTTACGTTTTAAGTGCTACCAGGTCACCAGTTGTCTAATAGATGTGATCTGTTTTGATTGCTGTTTATATACGTTTAAAAATCTGCCCTTGTTTTTGATTCTTAACAACTCAGGACTTTCCTATAGTGAATTTTAATAACTATAGCTTTTAATACATAGCACCATTTAAAAACAATCTATATTGTGGAAAATAAGGAAACATATTAAAACAAAAATTATCTATATCTTCTCTACCCAGTAATAACCATTATTAACATTTTAGAGTATTTTGATTTTTCTTTCTGATAATAAATATACCTAATTAATAGCACAGTTGTCAATATAGTACAGTTTTATCTCTTACTTCCTTCATTGTATCCTCAGCATTTCTGTGTTATTAAGAGTATTTTATTAAAATGTTAAAATACATTAGAGGTATTTATGGCAGGATAATAGACCAGTTAAAACATGTGAAATATTGTTTGAAATATTATGTTTAATCATGTCTTATACTTCAACATTTGTATTTCCAATTCGTTACAGTTAAAAATAACTTTTCAGGGTTCACCTTTTATTTAAATTCTTGATCACATCCATTTCCTTGGGATAGATTCCTAGGACTAAAATTTTGGGCTCAGACAGTGTGGTGCTTAAAATGATGAGGTTTTAGTAATACCTTCCTTTCCACATATTGTAGAGAGCTTCTATGGATTCTTGATTAAATGTGCACTAATTGCTGGGCTGCCCTTCTAATTGGTAGTGAAATGTTCTGTCCAACAGATAGAGACACAGAAATGAGATAGTTTGAGTATTATGGAACTGGTTCTTTGGTATAAAATTTTTGAATAGTTTAAATATTCATATGTACAAGGCACTTATATAAAATTTAAGAAAGGCTTCTGTGCTCAAGAACCTATAACTATTTGAGGCTTTCGTATACATACTCAAATAACTACAATGCAAGGAAGAGTGTGATTCATGGCTTTGCTAAATAAGTAGCTTCTCATGTAGAAATCACAGATGTAGCCAAAAGGCAGTCAAGGAAGGCAAGCTTTGTGGAGGTCATAATGCCTATGCCAAGTGCTCAAGAGTAGACAGATGTGTAGGGGAGGGGTGGCCAAGTACATGTGATGGCCTGAGCGAAGGCTCTAGGCAAATACCCAAAGGTGATAAGGAGAATAATGGAATAATGGGTGTTCTGGCATGGGTAGGGCAAAGGGTAAGAATGGGGGAATATGGAAGAGAAGATGGAAAAGATGGGTTGCAGCACCTTAAATGTAAAGCAAAGGAGTTTAGATTTTATTTGGTGGCAGCTGTGTCTTTGCACAGAAGAATGACTTGATCAAAGTGGAGGTGGCTCTGGAAAGGGTAAGTGACAAGACTGTTAGGAGATATATATAATTTTTTTATTTTTTTATTTTTTGCAAAAGTTGAGTCTTAAAATACAGAACATTAGTACAGTAGCAGCGGGGGCGGATGAGAAAGGAGTGAGTGTAAGGAATTGAAAAGGAGGAGCTGTTACTGAATGTAAGGACCTAGAAGTTGACAAATTCACAGATGTACCAGGATTCTCAGACGGTGGGCACATTAACAACAACAAAGCACAGGAGGAAAAGTGAGAGTAGGTGACCATCTCCTGGAGAGAGAAGAGGATATAATTGTACTCATTATGGTGTTTCAGGTGATAGCGGGATCCCTAGAAATGTGAGAATAGATTCATCAGAGAAGCTGTCAAGCAAAAGATCAAATCCAGATGCTTTTCTAGTTAAACTTCATTGCTTATGATATTCAGTAGTTGAGGCTTTCTTTAAATAAACAAACATGCTAGAACAAGCATATTGGAATATAATTTGTCCTCTGTTGGGTGATTGTTCTCCATTCTCCTGAGCTGTGATGCTGAGCTCTCTTTTTCTGGATGCTTTACTTAGACCTGTTCATCCTTCTATTCATTTACAAACACTAAGCAATAATCTTTAAGGGTCTGTAGTCATTCATTTCTACTCATCCAAGAAAGCTCTATTTGAATGAAGAGGTAGATGTGCTTGTAGCACTTACTATAGAAGGAAAAAAACACTAAAATAACATGTACTTTTTAGAATTATGGCTTTTTAGAACTATGCCACTAGGCTAATTCATTCGTTTCTCATTTTAGATTCAAGGGAGAATTTTATTTAATTTTCACTATTGGTTATGATTACTTCTTTAGACCAGAGCAACCTCAGTGTTTTCCTTTTTCTCTCTTTTTCAGGGAATCGGCTCGGGAAAAGGTAATGCGAGAAGTTAAAGCCTTAGCTAAGCTTGAACACCCAGGAATTGTTAGATACTTCAATGCTTGGTTGGAAGCACCACCAGAGAAGTGGCAAGAAAAAATGGATGAAATCTGGCTGAAAGATGAAAGGTAACATTGTTAGACATAGACTTAAAAACTAGTGTTTTCTTTCAGGTTAGTTTTTTGCTTATGTGAACAAAATATCATTTGTATAGTTTTAGAGGTGATGTTTTTTAAAGAAAAATAACATCAGCTTACTGTTCTCATCATATTTTTGAATGTTCTCTAGTCACTTGTTAAATGAAAAGTTCATTTACTATTTAAAAATGAGTTTTTCTTTTTTGTACGGTACATGAATTTTTAAATTAAATTTATTGGTTAATAACATATAAGTTTCAAGTGTGTGATTCTATAATACATCATCTGTATATTGCATTGTGTGCTCACCACCCAAAGCCTAGTATCATTCTGTTAGCATACATTTCACCCCTTGACCTTCTTCATCCTCCCAACTCTCCCCTTCCCTCTGGTAACCACCCTTCTGTTGTCTGGTCTTTAATGTTTGTTTGTTTTGTTTGTTTGTTGTTTTCTATTTTATATTTCATGCATGAGTGAAATCATATGGTTCTTTTTCCATCTAACTTATTTTGCTTAGCTTGGTACTGTCAAGATCCATCCATGCTGCCGCAAATGGCAGTGTTTCATCTTTTCTTATGGCAGAGTAGTCTATTGTATGTATGTACCACTTCTTTATCTAGTCGTTCATTGAAGGACACTTAGGTTGTTTCCATGTCTTGGCTACCATGTATGAAGCTGCAATGAAGATAGGGGTACATATATCTCTACAAATATATGTTAAAGTTTTTGGGTAGATACTGAAGAGAGGTATTGCTGGGTCATATAGTAGCATTTCTTTCCTTCTATATACATATTGAGTGTTTTAATCATAAATAGATTTTATATATTCTCAAATGCTTTTTTTGCATCTATTCATATGATTTTTATCCTTTATTTTGTTAATGTGTTGTATCATGTTGATCAATTTGAACCATCTTTGCATCCTTGGAATGAAGCCCACTGATTGTGATGTATTATCTTTTTAATGTATTGTTATATTTGATTTGCTAGTATTTTGTTTAGGATTTTTGCATTTATATTCTTCAGAGATATTGATCTGTAATTTTCTTTTTTGTGTGTGTTATCCTTGCCATGTTTTTGGTATCTGGGTAATGTTTGCCTCATAAAGTGAGATAGGAAGTATCAACTCTTCTTAAGTTTTTTGGAAGAGTTTGAGAAGGATAGGTATTAAATCTTTGAATGTTTAGTAGAATTCACTAGTGAAGCCATCTATTCCTGGACTTGTACTTTTGGGGAGGTTTTTGATAACTATTTCAGTTTCCTTACTGTTGATCAATCTATTTAGATTTCCTGTTCTTCATGATTCAGTCTAGGAAGGTTATATATTTCCAAGAACTCATCCATTTCTTCTGCATTACCACATTTGGTGGCATATAGCCTTCCATAGTAATCTTGTATAGTCCTTTGTATTTTTGTGGTGTCCATTATAACTTCTCTTTTATTTCTGATTTTATTTTAATCTTTTCTGTTTTTTTCTTAGTCTAGCCAGAAGTTTGTCAATTTTATTAATCTTTTCAAAGAATAAGTTCTTTGTTGCATTAATTTTTTTATTGTCCTTTTGTTCTGTATTTCATTTAATTCTGCTCTAATTTTTATTTCCTTCCTTCTACTGACTTTTGGCTTCGTTTGTTCTTTTTCTAGTTCTTTAAGATAAAATGTTGTTTATTTGAGATTTTGTTTTTTTGTTTCTTGGGGTAGGCATGTAATGCTATAAACTTCCCTCTTGTGACTGCTTTTGCTGCACCCCAAAAGTTTTGATACATTGTATTATTATTCTTATTTGTTTCTATGTATCTTTTGATCTCTTTTATTTCTGTTTTGACTCAGTCGTTCTTTAGTAGTATATTGTTTAATCTCCACATGTTTGTGGTTTTTCCAGCTTTCTTATTGCAGTTGATTTCCAGTCTCAAAACACTGTCATTGGAGAATACGCTTCGTATGATTTCAATCTTCTTAAATTTGTTGAGACTAGTTTTGTGCCTCAACATATTGTCTATTCTTGAGATTATTCCATGTGTACTAGAAAAGAATGTATATTCTGGTGTTCTGGGATGAAAAGTTTTGTAAAAATCAGTTATGTCCATTTATTTCAATGTGTCATTTTCTTATTGATTTTCTGTTTGGATTATCTATCCATTGCTGTCAATGGAGTACTTAGGCCCCTACTATAATTGTATTTTTGTCACTTTCTCCCTTTCATTCTGTTAGTAGTTGCTTTACATATTTTGGTGCTCCCAGGTTAGGAGCATATTAATATTAATAAGTATTATCTCTTCTTGATATAATGTCCCCTTTGTCATTATAAAATGTTCATCTTTATCTCTTGTTACCTTTTTATCTTGAAATCTATTTTGTCTAATGTAAGTACAACTACACTCACTTTTCTCTAGATGCCATTTGCTTGTAGTATTATATTCCACCCCTTCGCTTTGAGTTTCTGTTTGTCTTTGCAGCTGAGATTTGTCTCCTAAAGGCAGCATGTAGTTGGCTTTTGTTTTTTAATTCATCCTACTACTCTGCCTTTTAACTGATGGGTTCAGTTGATTTACATTTAGGGTGATTATTGATAATATGAGGATTTTCTGTAGCCATTTTATCTTTTGTTTTTAGTAGTTCTGTGTCTCTATTGTTTCTTTTCCCTTCTGTTTCTGTCTGTTATTTTAGTTTGGTGATATTCTATGATTTTGTCCTCTATTTTCTCTTTTTTTTATGTTATGTGCCTCAGTTCTAGGTTTTTATTTGTAGTTACCATTAGGTTTATGCAAAAAAGTTTCATATGTATAATAGTCCATTTTCTTCTAAATTCATCTTATTTTCATTCACCTGTGCAAATTCTTTCCCCATTCTGCTTTTGCTTTTGTTGTCACAGATTATCTTTTTTTGTGCTGTGCATTCATTTACAAATTGCAGTAGCTATTTTTTTCTGTTTTTTAAATGCTTTTACCTCCTTTAATCTTTGTTATATTTAAATGTTTAATACCCTATTCTAAACCAGAGTTGTAATTTCCTGCTTATGTCTGCCAGTTAGTCATCTTATTCAGTTTTCTATTCTTTTGTCTTTTTGTTTCAGGTAGAAGAGTACCTTTCAGCATTTTTTGTAATGCATGTTTTATAGTGAATTCTCTCAGCTTCTGTAAATCTGGAAAAGCCTTTATTTCTCCTTCATATCTAAAGAATAACTTTGCTGGATATCTCATTCTTGTCTGGTGATTTCTTGCTTTCAATAATTTGAATATTTGATTTCACTCTCTCCTAGCTTATAGGGTTCCTGCTGCAAAATCCAATGATAATCTAGTGGGGTTCCTTAATAGATTACCATCTTCTTTTCTTTGTCTGCCTTGAGAATTCTTTGTCATTAATTTTTGACAGCTGTAATATAATGTGCCTTGGAGAAGGCCTTTTTGGATGGAGATAATTAGGTGTTCTGTTAGCTTCTTGGATTTGAGGATCCAGTTCTTTCCATAGGTTTGGGAAGTTTTTGTTAATTATTTGTCTGAATAGGCTGTCTGTTCCCTTCTTCTGTTCTGCTGGTATACCCATTTTTCTTATATTGTTCTTTCTAATGGAATCAGATAGTTCTAGTAGAGTTCTTTCTTTTTCTTTTTTTTATTTTTTAACTCAATTCTCTCTTCTTCTACTTGAATCATTTCTAGATTTCCGTCTTCAATATCAATAATTCTTGCTACCTTCTGATCTCCTCTATTTTCTAAGCTTGCTTGTTCATTTTTCATCTCATTTATTGAGTTCCTCAGCTCAAGAATTTCTGTTTGGTTCATTTTTTATAGTTCTCAGTCTCTTTGGTGAAGTACTCCTTTTGTTTTTTGATTTTATTTCTGAGCTCTTTGAATTAATTTTCTGAATTTTCTTGTATCATGTTGAGTTTTTTCAGGACTACAATCTTGAATTCTCTGTTATTTAAATCATAGTCTTTTATGTCTTTAAGTTTGTTTTCTAGAGAATTTTTATTGTCTTCCTGAATTTCCTTGTACCTTGGTTATTGATTGCTTGATGGATTATTTCTTTGCCTGCGCATTTGTGGAAATGAAATATGATTGTTTAAAATATTTGACTTCACTATTTAGCAGGTTGATAAGTAGAGATCTTTATTTTGTTTTCCAGTAGGTGGTGCTAAAGCACTAGTTTTTATTTTCTCTTACCTGTACCAATGGGGCTTCTGGGACTGTGGGGTGATGTCACCTCTGCAGTGGAAAACACCCTCATATTTCATGAGGCAATGAGCATCGCCTTTACCAGCCTGTAGCCTTGGTCTCAGGGTATCACCTCCATGGTAGAATGTGGTGTGCTATAGGCCTCCTGCCCTGTGTGTTCCCAACGTAGCCTTCCTGTAGCCAGAAGCTGCTGGCAGCCTGGGTTGACCCAGCTGCTTCTACCAGAGTTTGCTGGATGGCTGGGGGAGGGGTTAGTGTGTGGAGGGGAGGGGAGTTCCAGCATCTGTGGCTCTGTTTTTTCTACTGGGTTTAGTGGCAATGAATGAATAGAGACCACTTAGGCGGGAAAGATTTTCCTGCCCTTGTGTAGTCTCCCGACTGAGAATTTTACTGCTAGACAGGCCAAGAGAGGATGGGGCAGGCAGGTTTCTACATCTGCGGAATCCTTTGGTGCTGCTGGATTGTGTAATGCTGCCACCCTTTGCATCGCTCCTCTGCCTCGACCCTGGGATCAGCTTTAATATGTGCCGGTCACCCAGGCTCAATTGCTGTCTCTGCCCCTCCAATTTGCCCAGTGGGGGTTGCACCCTGACCCTTCATTGCTATCGTGTCCACTGGGGCCTCACCGAGCACTGGATTGGGTCTGCAGCTACTATCTCTGTTTTTCCCCAGCCTGTCTTCCCTGTTTGCTGGAATCGCCCACCACCTTCAGATGTCTCAATGCGAGGATTTCTCAGACATATTTGGGAATTGAGCAGGGAATCTTTCATTGAATTATAATTATCCGACTTATTGTAACTTCAAGGGGAGAGAACTGGATGTTCTCTTTCACACTGCTATCACTGCTGACATCACTGATCTAGAACATGAGTTTTTAAAATTATTAATAGATAAGGCTCTATGAATTATATAATTCACTGAGGGATTTATAGTGGCTTTTCTCAATAAGAAAATATCTACTTTTGTCTACATACTTTAAATTTTTTATTCAGTTTCTTAGTAGTTAAAAAGTTACAACTCCTTTTTAAAGTAGTTTTTAACTACTTGCAGTTAAAAATTTGTAAACATCTTATGCAGCCTGAGGATAATTCCCAAATTAGATATGCTGTGATAAGGAGGTAAAGCCCTTTTAAAAACTACTGAATGAGAACAAAAAGGAAGCAGGTTGCAAATTGAGTATTTGCCAAACAGCTGGGGTAAAATTTCTGCCTAAAAGTACCAAACACAGCCCTTGTTACAGTGACCCTTGTTATAGACTCAACTAATAGCCAGACTATGGAAGGTCAAGTAAAGTGGCCTGTTGTCTCCAGGCCCTGTGAGCTTCTGCCCTGATTTGGTTGGGGCTTCAGAGTCACAGCTACCAAGGGGTCCTGTCCTTCAGTGCTTTGTATTTTGTGTGAAAGCCTTGGCTACCCTGACATGACAGTCCCAGATAATGGTTCCAAGTATAAGATTAACATTTAAAGTTAAGTTTTTTAGAAGGAATGGATGGAATGTGATATTCTTTGTCTTATATAGCATGTTTCTATTTAATCCGTATGTTGTTTGTCTTTTGGTAACTGGCTTTATTGTAGTTGAAGCTTTTACAACAAAGGGTGTGGTTCACATAATTTAATCAACATGTATTCACTTTCCTCTCCCACTTGTAGCACAGACTGGCCACTCAGCTCTCCGAGTCCAATAGATGCACCATCAGTTAAAATACGCAGAATGGATCCTTTCTCTACAAAGGAACATATTGAAATCATAGCTCCTTCACCACAAAGAAGCAGATCTTTTTCAGTAGGGATTTCCTGTGGCCAGACAAGTTCATCTGAGAGTCAGTTTTCTCCACTGGAATTTTCAGGAACGGACCATGGAGACATCAGTGTGTCAGTGGATGCAGTGGATAACCTCCAGGACAGTTGCCTCACGTGCTATGATGTGAGAGATGGCACTGTGGATGGCAATGAGGAGGCGCGCTCCTTTGAACTTTGTCCTTCTGAAGCTTCTCCTTATGTAAGATCAAGGGAGAGAACCTCCTCTTCTATAGTATTTGAAGATTCAGGCTGTGATAACGCGTCCAGTAAAGAAGAGCTCAAAACCAACCAATTGTACATAGGCAACTATTATGCTAATAAACTAACTGCTACCAAGCATTCCAGTAGCAAATCTTCTTCAGAACCTACTTTATCTATTTCTCTTCCAAGACCAACCACTTTAAGTCTAGATCTCACTAAAAACACTGCGGAAAAACTCCAGCCCAGTTCACCAAAGGTGTATCTTTACATTCAAATGCAGCTGTGCAGAAAAGAAAACCTCAAAGACTGGATGAACAGTAGATGCACCATAGAGGAGAGAGAGAGGAGCGCGTGTCTGCACATCTTCCTGCAGATCGTGGAGGCAGTAGAATTTCTGCACAGTAAAGGGCTCATGCACAGAGACCTCAAGGTCTGTATTTATGAAACATCACCCAAGGGTTTCAATATGATGTTTTGTGCAACGCTTGCAGTATTTGTCAGAGGAGAGTGAAGGTATTGGGAACAGAGGTCTGGGAAAGTAGCCTGAAGGGGACTGCTGCAAAAATGAGAAATCTCACATCTTAAAAACCTCAGACCAATTGTGAGTTTTCCTCTGTAATGGATTTATGTCCATTCTGCAGTAAAAAGTATTCTCAGTCTCCTGAAGAAGAAAAAGACTTATGTAAAATCCATCATGAGCAGATTTTACAGTTTTCTTATGACTTTGAGTTAGCCTGACCCAGGTTCCTGTAGGGCCCTGAAGTAGCACAGTGAAATTGCCACACTTTTTGCAACTATTCCTGAACCATTTTGGCTTTGGGAAAGGAGGTGAGACGCTGGATGATAAAAGGTGGCAAATGGTTAGCCAGGTGATTGTTTGCAGCTCTAAAACCTTTGATTCTATTTTCAGTGTATACAATATTGACTATTGTAGCAATGCAATATGCTAAATTGCATAAGTTTCTTACTAAAACATGCAGTATTTCCTCAGTACGTGTTCCTGAAATAAGTGTATAGAACTTTTATTTAATCAGTTTCTGCCATATTCTGTATGCTCATAGCAATCATAATGGCAACTGTAGATGTGTAGTGAATATATAATTATTTTTCTAATGGAAGTAGCTTAAATTTTTTATAGATTTGGACTCATTTTAAGTATTTTCAGTTTTGTTTTATATAACCACAAACTTGTTTCAGGCATCAAAGTAGCTATTTGGATGAGTTATTTTCTTCTAAAATCAGCAGTAGAGTTTTTAATCCTTGAATATATTTTAAGAGTTTGGAATAACAAGGATAAGAATTAGAAATAATTCCTATTTTCCAAAGTAATTGTTGTTGAAATATATATAATCATCGTGCTTCAGTGATTTTGATGTGAGCCCAAACTGATTGCCAAGAATTATTCTACACTGAATGAGAAGTTCAGAGCTGATTTATTTTAGTTGGAAGGGGAATACACTTTCCAGGAGGCCAGATACCCCTCACTTGAGAGACTGCTGGCGATTAGAATATGGTAAACATTTCTCATGTGGTAGAAACCAATTAGTTGATATACACATTCTTCTTGTACTTAACACTTTACACACAAAATGCCAAATTGAAAAGCATATAATTATGTTTTTTACTAATTTCGAATGTTCTACTGATTTTATAATATTAATGAGATATTGATGAACATTTGTTTAATGCTACAATGCCATCTAAAGGTTTTTCTTGTATTTCTCTATGAACCAAAATAATTTCAAGAAGAAAACTAATTTTTTATTTTTCTCTAGAAATCAAAAGCTTTTCTAAAGATAAATTCCCTTTAAAGATTAGTGAACCAGAAAAAATTCCCCAAAGATTTTTATTCCTAGTTGTAAGGGTTATGCGTTCTGTTCATTCTGACCCAAGTCTTTGAGCTCAATGTTAAACCTCCTGGGCCCTCCTCTCCTTTTGTATGTGGTCACATTTTTGTTATCAGTACTCTCTGCCCCCTGATTCTCCAGACTTGCTTTTAATCTTTTCTTCTCTTCACTCAAGCCACACTGGGTTTTTCATAGTTCCTTGAATACATGGTATCCTCATAGAACCTGGTTATTTCTTTTTCGTAATTCTCAGCGCAGCCATATTATTTATCCCCTGGTTTCCACAGGGGCAGGAGCCATGTCTGTTTGTTCACCTGTTATATCCTTAGCACAATGGCTGATACATTCCATTTTGTTTTGAATATCCTCTTGTTTGCAATCAAAAGCATTTGTAATAACTTAATCAAAAAGGAAATTTATTGGCCTGTGTAACTAAATTGTCCGCGATTCAAATAGAACTTTATCTAGGGTCAAGTGATGTGGCCAGAATGTGGTTTGCGCACCTCTTGCCCCATTTCTTGTTTCCATTTTCAGGCAAGATCTTTCTTCACAGTCTCAGGGCAGCTGCTAGTGAGTCTCAGGGCTACGTGTTTTAAGTCTTGTGGAGTGATGGAGTAGGAGGTGAGGGGGAAAGTATCTCTTCCCCTACTGTTGATCAGAAGTCCTGGGTTTCCTTCTAATTGATAAGGCAAGGACACATACCCATCCCTAAACCATGTCCTGACCAGGAGATGGGATTATGCTGATTGGTTTATGGATAAGTTCCATAGGAACCATGCAGTTGCTGCACGTGTTGGGAATAAGAGAGTTCCCAGAGTCAAGTCAGGATACTTCTGGTTAGAACTACAGGGGTATAGAGGGTTGGCAAGCCTAAAAATAAAAAATAAATTAATTAAATAAAAGCCTATTACAGTGTTTGGTAAATAACACCAGATGATGGAAGAGCAGAGGAACAATGAAATTTAAGACAGCATTAGTCTATTATAGTCTCTCATATAAGATGATTTGTAAGAGAGCAAGAGGTTAATATTATAGACTTTGTTTATGTGCCTTAACTTCATTGCTTCAAAGTCAAAATTGTATAATGATATTTTGGAGTTTGAGAATAAAATGTTATTTGGCAGTATTTGAAACTTGGCAAAATTTAATTTCATGAGCTAAATGGCTTTTTCCTTATTTCAAGGGCTATGAATGGTGGTCATGTTAGCAGGGATTAGAATAGGTGATAGAGTAAGGGTGAGAGAAAGATGATATATTTTATGTAGGGGACTTTGAGGAGCCCATGAGAAATTTGGTTAGCTATATCTTATAAACAGTTGCATATGAGAGTTTAGAACTCAGGAGGGACAGTGGTCTTAGAACATATGCGAGCATATGGGTTTTAGAGGAGGCAGCACAAGGTTATAGTTAAGAGCTCATATTCTCGTTGATAGCCTACTTTCCCTTCTCAGACGCAAACCTGAATATCAGTCTGTTTCATTCATTCATCAAATAGTAGTGATTAGCTACTAGAGGGCATGAATTGTACTGAATGCTGAACCCGTGTTAGTGAAGCAGAAGTCCTTTGCTCATGAGGCCAGATTGCCTCAGTTTGAATCCTTGCTCCACCACTTACTACCTGGGTAACCTTGGGCTATCACTTAACTTTTCTGGGCCTCAGTTTTCACATCTTTAAAATAAAATAAAGGAGTAATGGAACTAATAGGGTTGTGAGTATTACATAAGTTATTAGTAGTAAACAGCTTAGGCTCCGGGCATATTGCAAGTGCTGCTATATATGCATTTGCTATTGTTACTATTATTATTATCATGACTTAAGTTATAAATGTAGAGAAGCTGACCAGAGGGAGAATATATAGAATAATAAGATTGAGCAGTACATAGAATGCCCTAGGGAATGTCAATCTCTAAGGGTTTAAATAGATCCTATTTGCTACCTCATTAACCAAATGGCTAAATGTAAATGCTAACTCCTTTGCGACCCTTCCCTTTTCTTTATTCACAGTACTTGAATAACATGGAAGGATTATTTTTATTTTCATACTAGCCCATTTGAAAGAGAAACATGCTTGAGAATATCTAATTTCTTGTATTTGTTTTCTATAGTCATTTAAATAAATTCTCTTCACTTTTTCTTCTTCTCTATACACACCTATTGTGCTTTTTGTTTATTTCTCCAGCCTTCCAACATATTCTTTACAATGGATGATGTGGTCAAGGTTGGAGACTTTGGATTAGTAACTGCAATGGACCAGGATGAAGAAGAGCAAACGGTTCTGACTCCAATGCCAGCATATGCCAGACACACAGGACAAGTGGGCACCAAACTGTATATGAGCCCAGAACAGGTGAGTCTTTTGTTTTCCTTCTGAATTAAAAATAGATTTTCAGTTAGATTGGCAGCAAGCTAGATGAACCTCATAAATCTCCATCCATGTTCTGCTTAAAATACTCAGTAAAATAAAATCTGAAAAGTATGAAAACTGGTAATAGTATTCCCCAAGCAACACAGCCAGGATACAGTTTCTACAACCTGAATTGGGAATGGATTTAAAAAAAAAACACTCACAATACATAAAACATGCTCACCCTCTGAACCAGAACTTGACAGCAACCAGAAATTTATAAAGAGACTTTGAACACTCCCCTTCCAAACTTAACTCAAGTTTGCCTTGTGTAAACTGTGTGGGAACTGTTTTCAGAGCCAGCTAGAGCAAGAGGTGCTGTACTGAGCTGCCCCCTACAGAAATTCACAGGGAACTTCCAAAATATCTCATGGCAGGAAGTAGAGGTAGGTAGACTCGGATATCTTGCCTTGTGGGATGCTTACTCAGCAAAGGAACAGGACAGAGACTGGAAGAGTGGTGGGAGCAGGGCATCCTGGGAGCTTCAGAGTAGCATGCCCAGCCACCACCACGCTGATGATATTCATAAGCTTACATATACTTAAATCAGCAGTTCTCAAACTCTTTGGTCTCAGTACCTATTTATACTTGTAAATGTGATTGAGAACCCAAGAGGTTTTCTTATCTATAAATATTTGCCGTATTAGAGATTAAAACAGAAATGTATACAATTTTTTCAATTAAAAATAACAATATTAAACCAGTCTCTTCCTAAAGATATTTTTATGGTAAATAAATATTTCTCAAACAAGCAAATAGTGAAAAGAGTGGCATTTATTTACATTTTTACAAACCTCTTTAATATCTAACTTAAAATAAGAGCTAGATTCTCATACTTGCTTTTTCATTCAGTTTGTTGCATTGTGTTATTTTAACTGAAGTAAATGAAAATCCGATCTCACACATATATGTAGTTGGAAAGGGAGATATATTTTAATAGCATTTTCAGGTCATTGTGAGTATTCTTTGATAGTGCATCAAAATTCAATAAGCTATAGTTTCTTAAAAATCATTTGCCCTCTACGGCCTTGCCACCCTGAATGTGCCTGATCTCGGAAGCTAAGCAGGGTCAGGCCTGGTTAGTACTTGGATGGGAGACCACCTTGGAATACCAGGTGCTGTAGGCATATAAAAAATAAATCAGTTGACCACGAATGTGAGGGTTTATTTCTGGACTCTTAATTCTATTCCATTGATCTAAATGTTTGTCCCTATGCAGTACTACACAGACCTTGTCATTGTAACCTTCTAGCAAGTTTCAAGAAGTGTCTATCCTCTAGTTTCATTATTGTATTTTAAGAATGTGCCTGATCTCGGAAGCTAAGCAGGGTCAGGCCTGGTTAGTACTTGGATGGGAGACCACCTTGGAATACCAGGTGCTGTAGGCATATAAAAAATAAATAAAAATAAATAAAAATTAAAAAATAAAATCTTTACAAAAAAAAAAAAAAAAGTCATTTGACCTGTGGAATCTAAAGCCATATCATCAAATGTTTTGTACTCTATTACTTTAACATTCTTAGTTCATTTTGAATGGATCTTTTACCCATGCGTGCTTTTGTAATATTGTGCATCGGTAATTTGGAAACTATTGATTCCCTAAGTTATGTAACTTCTCCAAAAGTCACAATGTATTTGACAGTATTTAAAAAATCACTTTGATTAATATCACCACCATTCTCACCAGAAAAAGCTTCAAGGATGAAGAAACTGTCAGGTTCCCAGTGGTGAATACGAATTTTCCGAAATTCTGATTTTCATGTCAAAGCTCAACTTTTATCATTAGCAACAAATTCTGTCAGATTCCTTGAAGTGCCATTTTCATTTTGTTTATCTTTAAGAAAATACATGTCAAGTATCCAAGTCAGAGTAACCATAATTTGTCTACTAATTGTTCTTTCAAGTCCAAATGGTATTTTGTGAAAAGAAAACTGGTTCATATTGTAACTCCAACAAGTGCACAAGTGCTTCCCTTGAGAGAACCATAGTACTTTGGTGTGGAGCAGAAATGCTTTATGAATACTTCTCATTTTGTCACACAGCATATTATAAAGATGTGTACCTACGGATCAAGATGTGATAAAATTAATAATTTTTACTGCTTCAGCAAAGACATTTTAAGTGAAATTGTCTTTTTTGTTGTTTTGTTTCTTAACTTTGAGTGTGCGGCACTGAAGAATATAGTTACTGTTAATACAGTTTGGTGACACTGCCTTGATTTATACTAAGCTTCCAGCAGTGTAAATGTCAACACAGTGAAAAGACAAATTGTATTTTAGTATTATTATGAAAATCATCTTGACCTTGCAGACTTCTTGAAAGGATGTTGAGATCCCCAAGGATCCATGGACCACACTTTGTGAAACCAATGGATTAGATTATTTTTGGAGGGTTGTATCAGAGACCAGGACTAGGAATTGCTTTGAGGAGAAGAACTTTATTTTACTGTTGTACAGTAACCTTTAGTATCCTTTTGTACTGTTTCAGTTGTTTACATTATTCAAGTGTTTCTTTTTCTGGTTTAAAATTTTCATTCTTTAGTAAAAAATTTTTTTAAAGAACCCTGTACTTAGACGTCTTGAATTTCAAAAATAAAAGAAAAATGATATAAGTACTTAGGTAGGAAAACAAAAAGGTTACAGCTAAAGAGCTTGTTTTCTATAGTACTCAATCTCAGAAGACAATAAAGCAAGATGCAATTTTGAAGAAAAATATCTGTGACCGATGAATCTTATTTCTGGCCATGAAGTTATTCATGTACAAAGAAATCGGGCATTTTTACCTAGATAAGAGTTAAGGAATCTCTTAAGTGAATAAAGCAGTTGCAGAAATGTATGCATAGTGTGCAATGTTTTGTGTAAACAAGAGAAAGTTATGTGTTTGCTCGTGTTTACATAAAGTAACTCTGGAAGGTTGTGCA